AAGGGTACAGGAGGGGTACAGGAGGGGTACAGTAGGGGTACAGGAAGGGTACAGTAGGGGTACAGTCGGGGTACAGGAAGGGTACAGGAGGGGTACAGGAGGGGTACAGTAGGGGTACAGGAGGAGTACAATGAAAGTTCATAGAGTTCCGTTGTGCTTTGCAGCCGTGCCTCCATCGATAGCTATAAAAGAAGTAAGCCGCTGTTTCTGATTCAGTCAGTTCTTAAACCTCGTGCAGTTCGGATCACAATGTTCAGCAATTATAATCATTTCGTTCAAAAAGGATATGGAAATTTTGAAGATGATGACGACGATATTGAAAGCTCACAAGAAAGCGAACAATCATCTCAAAGTTCTCAATCTAGCGAAGAAATGGACTCTTCCGGAGAGGAGGAGGAGGAGCATGTAGATCCTTGGTCACGCATTCAAAATGAAGTTTGTAATCGCCACGAAGCCCAGCTAGAAGCTCTGATCAACGAGTATGAACAAAACGGAGACTCGCCTGAAGTGGCCCGCATTAAAGCTGAAAATGCTTTGCTTCCAGTATATAGAAAGGAATTGAGAAAAGTGTTCTTAGAGTTTTTACAGTGGATGCATGCAATGAAGAAAGATCCGACATTCCGAAAAGTGATGGAAACCCGCCAAGATCTCAAAGACACAGAAGGAATTGACTGGCTGGAATCGACAGAACTGGCCATCGATAAGCGGAAATTCTTACTCAATCAATTGTTTGTCAAACAAACTGTTCCCGAAGACTAAGCCGGAACTCTGTCTATTCATCTATTGTTGTAACACTTTGATGGTTTTGTTATCAATAAATGTATTTTTTAACCGAAACAAAGGTGTAGTCTGGTTGTAGCACGCGCGTATTAATCCCACCATTGTTTATATATAATTGACTTGATTCCCATGGATAATTTATGCGAGAAGCGTTCATGTTGGCTCAGTGTATATTAAATTAGTTTGCGATGAGTAATAAAATACAGTTCGCTTTCGTTCGTTTTGTTTCGTATGATACAGGTCTAAAAGGAAAAAGGCCAACCTGTTAATGGTTAACGCTCGATACAACAGTCTAGAAACGTTTAAAGGTTGAATCATATTGACAAAACAGAATCAATGGTTTTGTAGAATAAAAATATTTATCTTTGGTCACAGTGAATAGTTTTAAGTCGAGTACTGTTTTCGGACCGTTGACTTGCATGTTTGCAGCAATGTTTTAAAGAATATTGGTGATAGTAATACTTTTTCCTTAGCAAAGCGATTGCAAGAATAAAATGCTGAACAGAGAGCGCGCTTTTATGTTGAACACATAATAGATTGTTACTATCCAATCAGGGTAAAAGAGCCCGGGCAAGTCTACGCAAGCCTATTGTTCCTATTGTAGTAGAGTGACGCTCATTAGTAAACCTATCCACTTCATTATATATGGAGGAAGACACTTAATTAGTATGCAGGAAACCCAAATTAGTATGCAGGAAGACACTGACTAGGCACTTAAATTAATATGGAGGAAGGCAGTGACTAGGCACTTAATTAATATGAAGGAACGCATTTTTTTCCCTAGGTTATAACAATGGGTGACGTCATTGACTCGACCCATATGCCTATTAATTAAGGGAACGCACACGGAACGCAAAGGGAACGCACCAAAACGGTTAAGTTTGACCCTAGTAGACTACTGTTATTAGTCAATGACTGACATAAGAGTTTCCTCACAATCGACCCAGTTAGAGTGCGATAATGTACGCGTTAACTTTGCCTACTATTGGCAATAAGCTGAATAAACCGGATGCACGAAAGGTCATGAGTAGATCAGATCTTTTGTTGTCAATGAAACGTGACGAACGGCTGGGATAAGATTTGCTTGTAGACGGAAGTTTATCCGTTTCAATTTTACCCGTTTCGTTCCAGAAAAGGTCCATAGGCATCTATGATTCTCTTTTGGAAAGGAATTGATGAAATCTGTTCTGTACCTACATTTTTGTTTCCTTTTTAAGTTTACTAATGCCCAGGAACGGGCATTACAAAACTCATGAACGCATAAGGCAAATCGGACAAGTTCCGTTACTTGTATTTTACCTGATGGAACCGTTCCGTCTCTTTTTGTTGACGTAAATAAAAATGCTTGAACTTAGTCTATGACCAATAGAGGATTTCTTAGGGGCCGACCAAAGGAGGATGTAACACCCTTCCCATCGTAGCATTATTAACCACATTTTTGAGATTTTTCATAATAATAGGACACAAAGGTCAGTTATTTTTTTCCTTTTTTCTTGCCTACCTTATCAGTATATAATCTTCCGAAATAGACACATTAAAGGCAATAAAAAGCAGCTTTTGTGCACAAAAACAGACTGTCTTCGGTACGTACTTTTCTTTGTTGTTGTTTGTTCATGACGCCACAGTCAAGCGCGGTTAAATAATTAGTTTCGTGTATAATTTATTGTTGAGTTCTGCTCATCGTTTGTCGTTAGAAAAAAAGAACAACAGTCATTTTACATGCAGATAATTAAGATCCTAGCTGAGCCTCTTTCCATTGATGCTTTTTGGAGCGTTGAATTTCGGGAAAATTTCGCACCCAAATTTGCACCTGCGCTTCGGAGACCCTAAACGCGCATGTAAACTTCGAGTGGAAATAAGCTTGAAAAATTATGTTAGTGAAACTTCAACTTTCTGATGAGTGGCAACCCTGGTCACTATTCCTTTGAGATGTCTGATGTCCAAACGGCATATTCTATCATATCGCTGCTAGCAGAAATCTGGTGCCTAAGGCCCTAAGGCGACGCACTATAATCTACGATTACTGTTAGGTTAATAACCAACCCCAAAAAAGTCAGTCACTGCTTCAACTGAGCTGTTTGTACCGCTCCGTTCTCCTTCCGCTCTTTCACTAGATGCACGGCTTACTGCATGGGTGTGTACAAAACAGTCCAGTTGAAGGAATTGCCTTATGACTGGCACAGAACCAGAAACAGTATTCATAGCCAAATATAGGAGTTTTAATTTTTACCTGTAAGAAAAAAAGAACAAAATAAAAAGCGAAAAACTAGCAGGTCACAGTACACAGTTCAGACGAGGTTTGTGTTGAGTGTACAGACTTCAATAGAGAGTTTTAGACCCGAGTTTACCGCGAACCTCTAACCGCTGTAGGTCACGTGACAAGTTTTTCGCGTCACGTTTGCGGTTTACGACGTGCGTTTTCAACGTGGGGAGGTAGGTTTTCACGTATGTCATTTACCTGAAAGCTTTTAGCGTATAATTCTTGTTTTATCCCGCGTAATGATACCAAAATCTTGTGAAGCAAATCTTTATCCATTAACAGAGGCACAAATTCTGGCGAAATGCTAAATTTGATAAATCCTATTGGATCTTGAAAACAAGTGCCATTCTGTTAAAGTACTCAAAACAGCCACTATTTTGAATTATTTTGAGTGTTATTTTATTTACGCAAAAGTGTGCAAGGTTTATTATATCTGTTTGTTTTGGTTGAGAGATTTCGAAAACGCACGTGCCGGCCGTAAAGTGAAATTTTTTCCCTAGGTTATAACAATGGGTGACGTCATTGACTCGACCCATATGCCTATTAATTAAGGGAACGCACACGGAACGCAAAGGGAACGCACCAAAACGGTTAAGTTTGCTGAAGCCCTACTACTCATTTCTGGGAGAGCGGTCACGCGCGTCTAATTAGGGTTTTTTTTTTCTTATTTTCACAGTGTTTTCGGGCAGGCGTTTTCTCTTCTCTCTTCCCGCCCCTCCCCGCTCCCTTTGACTCGCCCTATCTCCTCCTCTAGATCTCATCGGGAAGTTTCAACATGGCGATTTCGCGAGCAAATTGCGCGCTCAAAGAAAACGCCTGCACTGCAGGCTATAATAATAGTAACTTGACCGTACGAAGACATCTTTAGTTTTGTAACTAGTGCCCTAATTAAATTAAGGCTCTTTTCTTTTAAGAAGGAATAACTTATAACACTTGTAGAATCAAGTCGTCAGAGTTAAAGACTGTTTAATTAAGTAGTATTAGTATTTCAGGTGACTCAAAAAATAAGTTATACAATGAGAACTCAGCCACTTATAGCATCATGGTAACTTTTAGATCCCATTAGAGCTTATTAGGAAAACTGTTTTTGACTATTAAGAACGTACTGAGCAGTAAGTTTCATCAAAAGCCGCAAACCACAAACAAACTGGATCTAATGCCTTCCGGAACTTTTGTGGTAACGAGCTTTGGTGTTTTTTATAACTGACCTATCCTACATATTTTTTTTTTTAATTTTAACTTAAGTTTTTGAATATTATGAATAATTTCTGTTAAGAATAGTTACTTTCACTATCTACAATGACCATTCAAGTCCTTCATTTAAAGATCTAAATGTTGTCAAGTTGTTTAACATTATTACCCTTCAACTTGCATTGTTTATGTTTAAGGTCCACAACAAACTCCTGTCTCCCGCATTTGACCCTTACTTCAATTCTGTTAGGAAGATACATAGGTATAATACCATATTATCTAGAAAAATGAATTTTGCTATTCCTTAAGCAAGAACAAATTATGGAATCTTCAGCATAAAATTTCAGGGCCCAGTTGTTCGAAGGCCGATTAGCACTTAACCCGGGGTTAAATTTAACCTGGGTTTCTTTTTCTTGTGTTCAAAAGCATTTTCTCGGATAATTTTCTGTGCTATTTTTAAGAGCTTCCAATCAGAGTGCTAAAGTCTGGAATGATATAAGTGATGACGTAAAGCTTCTTCCTCTCTAATGCTTTAAGAAAAACCTCAAGCTAATTCTTCTTGAAAATTTACTAGAAATAGTAAAGTATTTTAACACCATAATTCTTCTGGCCTGACACCCTTAACTTTCTTTATTTCTTTGTTTTGGTGTTGCGTGCGCATGCGCGCGCGTGTGGGGCAACCTGTACTCCGCTATATTTTTGTTAATTTATTTTGTTAATCATTATTGTATATTTTTGGGTGCAAATAAAGTTGTTGTTGTTGTTGTCCCGGTCAGAGTTGAGTTGTGACAGCACGTAAGGGTGAAACTCTACTGAAGCCTAAGTAACTCCTCTGTGAGTTTGAATTTTAACCCTTGGAAGTAAAATGGGGGGGGGGGGGGGATGCCACCACCCCCCCATAAGGTTTTTCTGAGTTTTTTTTTTCTAGAGGANTTAACCCTTGGAAGTAAAATGGGGGGGGGGGGTGGATGCCACCACCCCCCCATAAGGTTTTTCTGAGTTTTTTTTTTCTAGAGGATAAAACATCAGCACTGACGTTTTCAGTCAGTAGCTGTTCGCTCATCCCTTGCGCAGATTTTGAGACAAGATTAGTGATGGTCAGTTTCTATGGTTACGAGATATGACGTCATAACTAGCGGGTGGTCAAGCCAATTTTGGGTGGAAATACATGTTTCTTCAACTTTCAACAATAAAAGAAAATCTTGTGGCTAAAATCATGCAAAGTGCTTATTTATGTGTTATTGTTCATGTAAAGCACAAAAAAATTACCATTTCTCGCTGTCTTAACCTGATTTCTAATTCTTGGTAAAATCAAAGCCGGCGACCATTGTCGGTGACGTCACAGGCCTTCAGCAGTTCCACCACCCATAAAATATAGCTCATCTTGTTAAGAAGATCAAAGGCTTTCCACTAAAGGTAAAATCGTTTCAAAATACTGCAACATATCAAAAACTCCGGGGAAGGGTTCCATCCACCCACCCCCCCTTCCCTTTTTACCACGGTGGGGGTATGAATTTGCGTGTACGTC